TATTGCTGTATCGCATACGTTGATAATATAACATTTATTCACAATTTCTATATAGAAACACAGATATATCAAATTGCGTAAAAATACATACAATTTATTGGAAGTGTGGAATTATGTAAATAAATTAGGTATATAAAAGACAAAACATACAGCTTGCATAAACAGGTTATTATGAGTTTGTGCATTTGATCCTGGGGGCAGCGGGATAACAGTAATTAATGTTACTGTTCCAATATACGTTCCCGGGGAGCAGTCAGTATCGGGAGCATTTACCTTTTCTGCTGCATTGAGATCCCGTCCATCCTTTAACACATTTACAGGCGGGCACTCCGGATTTGACGTAACATTTTCCTCTGTTGCCGCCGGGACATATAACCGTCTGACAAAGGTCGTAATCTGTAAAATTAATTTTTAAAATTATCGTTTGTTTCATTAGGTGTCCGATATTATTGTATGACAATTATGGCGTCCGAACAAAAGGACCGAATAGAGCTATCTCGGTCAGGGTCCAGGTATAAATATACATGGTAGGGATCATGGAGAGAGTTTATTGGTCTAATATGACCCAAAATTGTGCTTTTAGATTAGAACATAATATTAGGGATTGGCAATCTAAATACCGTTGATTGGATAAGCATGGAGGAAAACATGGGATAAGTTAATGGTTGTGGTCCGTCGATCGTGGGTGGGGAGAAAGTCTCTCCGATGAGGTGATTACCCTTTTTTACCCCAGCTGGCTCCATCACTGTGTCTAATTCAGTGTATCGATGATAAATAATTGAATTTTAGTTTCCTTTTGACCTACTGAATGTTGCTTTTATATCAGGTGACTTAAGGTACTTTCACACGGAATCCGAAATTTTCGGATCGGAAAGCCACCGATCAATTTTCAAAATTTTCCTCTGACACTCGATAGGGTATACAGTATTTATAGTCTTCAGTTTGTATAATTTTTATAAACTGGAAAAGGAATATTACATTACAATATTATTGTAATGCATACATGTCGATTGCATTACATTAATTTTAATATGCCATTACGTTATTACATTTTACATGTATAAGATTTTAAGGGTACCTTATCGTATTTACGCACGGTACACACAGTCACAAACATTTTTCAAAGTATCTGTTCCTTTTCTAAAACTTACCGGCCTTCCTTTCAATCGTGTAACCGAAACATACGGAAATAAAGGCGACGATGAAACACAGAGTAATCTTCATCTTTAGTGATTAGAGTCTGAAAAAAATGAAATAGGCCTAATAACATTTTCTTTCTCATGTAATAGCAATTGAAATGCTGTCAATTACGGTACAGAATGAACTGTCGTAAAATTAATATTCATTATGAAAACGTCGGAAATTGAAACAAGGATAATGTGAAGCATTTGGAAGGTTTTGCAAACATACGAAACGATTATGAATACGGTTACGACATTAATTTTTTAGTCAATCCATCCAAAAAAAGTAGCATGTCTTACAAAATATCGATGGTAGGCCTGCTAAGCACGACAGCATACTGTCAAGAATATATTAATCAAATTTTACATGTCCATATACTAACAAATATAAATATAAAGAAAAATTTAAATTGTATGAAAATTACAGAATACCTTTACAGATATTAATGCAATATAAATTACCACTTAGAAATTATCATTGCAGATTTCAATATAGAGTTGGTAATGCCTGAAACGATCATTTTTTGTGATGCAGAAATCCCTGACATGAAGTCGTACACCGATTTTCTTACAAATTCGTGTTACAATCACCGTACACTGTATAGGCATGTGAACGCGAGTAATTTTTTATTTTATTTTATTTTTTTGGGAGGGGGAGGGGGTACTCTCGTAAATACTCCACTGCTTCAAACGGCCCATGAAAAACTAATGAACACTTACCGTACCTGTACCTTGCGTTCGCAGCTATAACTAACAAGAAAACTTGTTGCTCTCTTAATATTAAATTCCTTCAATGTTTGCACTTCGATGCCACTTCAAGATGAAGGCATACATCATTTGCAATTTATATTTACAATATAGTGTACGCTATCCCATTTAATTTGACAGCAGCTTTATCTAAAAAAACAGAAAACAAACAATCAAGTTTGAATCTACTTACTTTTGACTTACTCCGTCGCCTACACATTCTACAATGAGGAATATTGTACCGGTACTCCTCACTGGTTTCAATGACACTAAAATTTTAGGCTTCGAACAAACATCGATGGTTTAAGTGTAATGGACTTTCCATTTCTTCAAGTGTTTTTACTGCTTTTCTGCAAACAGCGTCCACTGATTTGTTGACTGAACGAAACTCTATGAATGAGTTCCTAAAGATGGATGATGGTGTTAGTCAATATATTGACGATTCATCTTCAATGGGCCTTTGTTTCCGCAACGTCAAATATTCAGCATTCATTCATATAGCAGCAAAGCAAACTTTGTAAGACGTCAACATATTGAGGCAGCATAGACCATTGCCAATGGTCTAATTTTAAATGTTATAGCACAATTAATGATATTTATAACTTTACAAGTAGGCCTACCTCTCTAGATATTTTCTTTTGTCTCGGCAAGAAGATGATCTCCTGGTGGGAATACTAATCATCCGATAAAACAAATTTACATGTGGGATTTGAACATGAAATTTCATACTAAATGCGAAAAAAAAAATATTCGATCAAAAAAAATATAGGGCATATAGCCCCACTTGTTAAGAACCGCATTAGATCTACTTATTGAAAACGCCACTTAATATTTCAAACTGCGACGAATACGATTTATCATAAACACTGCGATTTAGTTTCACAGAGCACTCATCGCGATGCTAAGTGCTGTTCGTCAGAGATTTCACCTACGTAGGCTCACTTAAATGTGCGGTTTTCACCGTTTAATCTACTAACTCGCTCTGATCAACACCTCATCATGCTGCCGAAAATCAAAGCTGAAGAAAAAGGTAGGCTTGCCTTTATTGGTTTCTGATATTTTATTTTTAATAATTTTGTATTGATATGTTGAGGCTGTTAATCAAAAATTTTAAATAAGAGCCTAGACCAAACAAACACACACCAGAACTTTTGTTTACATATCACGCACACTAATAATTCATTTTAGATCATTATTAAATCTTTATAGGCCTAGATGTTATGCTTATTTTATTATCATCTTAAATTTATATAAGATATTAATAATGAAACTGTTTTCACTAATATTTTAAATAAATAAATAAATGATATCCCTTCCTTTCATATATTTTTATTGTTAATATAATTGATAATCATCATCGTCATCGTTAGTTAAATGACCAGTACCGTTATTATTATCTTTTATCATTATTATCACCTATCACGGGAAACTGAAATACTGGTAATGGAAAAGAAAGTAAGTAAATTAGTAAGATCATCACTTTTGGTTGTTATTTAATAATAATAATAATAAATTATCATCATTGTCATTATCAATCGTTATTTTTCATTCGTATTTCGTCATTCATCTCCAAATTTGTTTTAGACGCCATTGTTATATTCTGTATTAGCATTCCATAGGATTACTGCAAACCACACTATCTATTCAATTCTTAATATTCACTAAGTCGATGCTATGGTTACTGAGCATGGCTCAAAGTACGCGCTAGGCCTATTCCGGTTTTTTTCAATAGAAAATTAAACACTTTATATCATGCGTCAATGGTAACCAGGGGCGGATCCAGAGATGTCCAAAAGGGGGGGCCGGAAGGGGGGGCCGAAAGTTGGGCCGATTGAGACAACACTGTCGTAGGGGGTCCGGGGCATGCCCCCGCGAAATTTTTGTGTTCTAGACGCCCGAACATAACATTTGAGGCATTCTGGGCTATCATTTTT